TGTGACCAACAAAGCTGTCAGTTGATACTTGTTTCAGTGTGATTCTAGGTCCTCGTCTTACCTTTGGGCACAGTCCCTGGGCCCTGGAGTACTCAATTCCTGCCTGGACTCCATTCCCAGTTCAGCAGACACTCTGTCTCCCTATGCCAAATTAGACTGGACAAATGACACAGATTTTTCTTGGATTTCCTGAGCAGGATTTAGTCTGGCAAATTTTCTAGATGTGTTTGGAGAAGGTTGAGTTAAGGGTGGGGAGGGGGTGCTCTCTGTACTTCTTGCTACCCCACTATCTTGGATCCACTCTCATTCTCCCTTTATTTCATAGGAATAGGTACTAATTTGATGAGTTCACTAATAAGAGAACTCCAAAATGAGGAAACTCCTTCTACTAATACAGGTTAGCACCTTCTCTGCAATTTATGACCTTAGAAAGTTGTCCAGAACATTGAGAGCTGAAGTAACTCACCCAGAGTCACAACCATTCTTTGTCAGAGAGAGGACTTTTACTCAGGTCTTCATGGCTTTGAGGATACTTCTCCAGCCTCTACACCAGAGGGGCCAGACACAAGGCCTGTGGGTCACCTGCAATCCATAACACTCTTAAATGTAACCCAGATCAGATTAAAATGTAATTGAAAAATTTTGCAAAAGAAATATAAATACAATAAACCATAGATAATGTTGTATTTGAAAACTAAGTCATTATATAGCCAGCAGAGATCTTTATGTATGGTTTAGTGGCCCCCCCGTTTCTAAGTTAGTTTAATACACCACACCACACCACACCACACCATCTCTCTATGTTCCCTAACATAACTAAAAAACCCAACAGACCCCAGAATACTCTTTTCGTTGTCCTTAACTTTCCATGCCAGACTCAGCTTATTCTGAGCATTAGTAGTCTTCATATCATTTTTATAGGACCATGGCATGCTTTTGGGTGCTCTGTCTCTGTATCCCCATGTCCTAATACAATACCTAATGTATAATAGGTGCTTATTGACTGATCGATTGATGGACCCTAGGTTACTAAACCTTGCCTCCAAATTCTCTATCATCTTTTGTTTAGTATTTTGTTTTTCCCCAGTTACATGTAAAAACAATTTTTAACATTTGTTTTTAAAATTTTAAACTCATTTTAAAATTTAAAATCTGAAAACTGTTCATATCTTTTGATCATTTATCAATTGAGGAATAGCTCTTATTTTTATAAATTTGACTTAGTTCTCTATATGTTTGAGAAATGAGGCCTTTGTTACAGAAACTTGCTTCAAAATTTTTTCAAACTTATGATTGCTAACTGAATTTCCCTCTATCCTATCCCCCCAACTCCCTGTTTATTTTATTCTCTCTCTCCTTTCACCCTGTCTCTCCTCAAAAGCGTTTTGCTTCTGAGTACCCACTCCTCCAATCTGCCCTCCCTTCTATCAACCTCCATCCCCTTCCCCTCTTACTTTCCTATAGGATAACATAGATTTTTATACCCAATGGAGTGTGTGTTATTCCCTCTTTGACCCAATTCTGATGAGAGTAAGGTTCACTCACTCCCCCTTATCTCCTCCCTCTTCTCTTCCACTGTAAAAACTTTTTCATTCCTCTTTTATGTGAGATAATTTACCCTATTCTACCTCTCCTTTTTTCTTTCTCCCAGTACATTCCTCTCTCACCCCTTAATTTTATTTTATTTTAATATCATCCCTTCATATTCAACTCACACCTGTACCCTCTAACTATATATACTCCTTCTAACTGCCCTAAAAATAAGGAAGTTCTTATGAGTCATCTTCCCATGCAGGAATGTAAACAGCTTAATCTTATTAAGTCACTGATTTCCCTTTCCTATTTTCCTTTTTATGCTTCTGTTGAGTATTGTAATTGAAAGTCAAATTTTCTATTCAGTTCTGGTCTTTTCATCAAGAATACTTGAAAGTCCTCTATTTCATTGAATATCCATTTTTCTCCCTGAAGGATTATACGTAGTTTTGCTGGGTAGGTGATTCTTGGTTGTAATCCTAGCTTCTTTGCCCTCCAGGAATACCTTATTCCAAGCCCTCTGATTCTTTAATGTAGAAGCTGCTAAATCTTGTGTTATCCTGACCGTGGCTCCACAATACTTGAATTGTTTCTGTCTGAGTGCTTGCAATATTTTCTCCTTGACCTGGGAGCTCTGGAATTTGGCTATAATATTCCTGGGAGTTTTCATTTTGGGATCTTTTTCAGGAAGTGATTGATGGATTCTTTCAATTTCTATTTTATCCTCTGGTTCTAGAATATCAGGGCAGTTTTCTTTAATAATTTCTTAAAAGATGATGTCTAGGCTCTTTTTTTAAAAATTATGGCTTTAAGGTAGTCAAATAATCTTTAAGGTTTCTCTCCTGGATATATTTTCCAGGTCAGTTGTTTTTCCAGTAACATATTTCACATTGTCTTCTATTTTTTTAAATTCTTTTTGTTTTGTTTTATTGTTTCTTGATTTCTCATAAAGTCATTAGCTTCCATTTGCTCAATTCTACTTTTTAAGGAATTGCCTCTTCAGTGAAATTGTGTGCCTCTTTTTCCATTTGGCCACTTCTGTTTTTTTAAGGCATTCTTTTCCTCATTGACTTTTTATACCTCTTTTACCATTTGGCCTAGTCTATTTTTTAAGGTGTTATTTTCTTCAGTACCTTTTTGTGTCTCCTTTACCAAGCTGTTGACTTGTTTCTCATGATTTTCTTGCATCATTCTCATTTCTTTTCCCAATTTTTCCTCTATCTCTCTTACTTGATTTTGAAAATCCTTATTGAGCTCTTCCTGAGACTAATTCATATTTTTCTTGGAGGTTTTGGATGTAGGAGCTTTGACTTAGTTATCTTCTTCTAAGTGAGTGTTTTGATCTTCCTTGTCACCATAGTAACTTTCTATGGCTAAAATTTTTTTTCTCTTTGCTCATTTCCCCAGCCAACTACTTGATTTTTAACTCGTTAAAGTAGGGCTCTGATTCCAGGGTGGAGGATGCACTGACTCAAGCTTCAGGAGTTTTGTGCAGCTGTCTTCAGAGATACTTCTAGGGACCTGTAAGTTTTCAGTTCTTCCAAGGTGGTATGATCCAAGGAGAGGTGTTTACTACTCTCCTGGTCTGTGCTGTGGTCTGTGAGTGACCACAAGCACTCTTTTTTTGCCCTGCAACAGTGAGGAGTCCCCACTACACTGTAGTCACAGGCTCTGTTGTGCTAGTGCTTCTCCTCACCCTGGGACTGCCACCCAGGACTGTGACCTGGATCCAAGAATGGGCAAAGCAACAGAGTCCTGCCTCAGTGCTAGCAAAGAGACCCCTGCAATCTCCTTCTTGTTCAGCCTCCTTACTATCTGAGGGCTGAGAGCTCTGTAAGCAGCTATGGCCACTGCTGATTCAGTGGCTCCTGAGGCCTGCTCCTGTTTTGCTGAGGCTGGGGCTGTGCTGGTGTATCCTGTGCTGAACTGTGCTCTACTCTCAACCGGGTGCCACAGACCTTTCCTGCTGACCTTCTAAGTTGCCTTGAGCTGAAAAATTGTTTCACTCCATTTTTTTGTGGGTTTTACTGATCTAGAATTTGTTTAGGGTCATTATTTAAAGGTATTTGGAGGGGCTTGGAGGAGAGCTCAGATGAGTCTCTGCCTTTACTCTGCCATCTCAGCTCTGCCTCCTCTATGCATCTTTTAAAAGTCTAACTTGGTTGGCGAGTTGCCTGTACATCTGTGTTTTCTTTCCTTCAGACAATTCACATGTTTTCCTCCTCCTTGGAATTACATCTCTTTGTGTCTTCAGAATTCCATTCCTTTTGTTTTTCTTTCTTACTTTTTTTTTTGAGACTGTGTTTTGAGGTCCTATCTCCTCCACGCTGGAAGTACAAAGGCCCCATCTCAATAATGAGCAGCCAGGGAGCTTCCACTTTCTCTGTTTTTCTGACCTGTGCGGTGCATCCCTGTTTAGGCAGCCTGGTGGCCCTCCACTCCCAGGGAGACAGTGTAGACAGACACACACTTGCCTTTAACCCTACTGTAACTCAGACCTCAAAATGAATCTCCAATCTCAGCCTCCCCAGTATGGAGTACTGAAAGCAAGCACCACCCCACCCTTCCATTCTAAAGGGCTTCCCACCTCCTGACTTTCCCTGGAGTATTTTGTCCTATTACTATGGATAACCAATAATTATGGGCAATCTCAGGTCAGTATTTCTAGCACCAAGAACTCAGATCCAGTGGCATAATGGACAGAGAGAATGAAGAAACTTGGGTTCTGATACTTCATAGCTCTCTGACTACGGGCAAGTCACTCAGCTTATCTGAGCTCCTGCTTCTTCACCCACCAAATGGAATAATAGATGCACCACATGTCACAGGGTGGTTATAAGAAAAGTGCCTGTAAATGTGTTATTATTATGGGCGTCAGGGTACTCTAAGGAAGAGTACTTTTCATACTTCTCCATTCTGTCTCTGAATTAGGACTGGAGTCTGGGCTATAACCAACAGCTGGTATTTATATAGAGCTTTGAGATGGACAAATTACTTTAAATATATTATCACATTTCATCCTCACAACAACTTGTTGAGTTGGATAGGGAGAATATTATGATCCCAAATCTATGTACATACATAACGTATTCTCTCTCTCTCTCTCTCTTTTCTCTCTCTGTATTCCTCTCTCCACATATATATGATCCATGCACACACACGTCTGCGCGCGCGCACACACACACACACACACACATACACGCACACACTTCTACTTCCAGTGCACCTTACAGCTTGGGTTCCACTGAGGCCAGGGTAGGGTAGTTTGCTTGCTATCTAGCAGATTTCTCTGAATTTAGAGCTGTGTAATGGGTTGGTTCCAGCTGTGTGGGTTCAGGGCCAGGAAACCCTGCATTCTACTGGCAAAGAGGGAGGGAGCAGAAAGAAGGGAGAGTTCAGTGGGAGGAGAGTCAGGGAAAGGGTGGGAGGGGAGGAGATTCTGAGGGAAGGCCAATGCTCATTTCCTCTTTTAGAAGTAGTGTTTACATGTCCTCTGGAGTGGACTTGCTGGAGGCAGTGGGACGGGTGTGTGCTGCTATTTTCTGAATCTCTGTGCTGCTTGGAGTCTACTCTTGGCATTCCCTGCCTGCCATGGGAGGACCATGGGTGCCCCAACCTGTCACCACCACCAGCTCTGTGCTGCTGTGGGTAGCATTATTGTGTCTAGGTGAGTCTAAGATTAATGGAGCAGAAAATGGGGGTACAAAGACAAAGGGCCAATTCTGGCTCAGGCATCATTTGGGGGCCTAACTTGGGAGGAAAGCATGAGTGGGGAAGATGGAAAGAAGGGGGAGAGTGGGAGTGTTAAGGGGCTAAACACAACCAATTCCTTAGAACCATGACAGAGGGGAGATGTTAAAGTTGCTGGACAGTCCCATGCCAACAATGCTTATTCTTGCGCCTTGCTCTAGGCAAAGTGAAAGTTGGCTCTTGTTTGGCTGTCCTCTCCTGACCAGGGACCCTGATAGTTTTTCTTTCTCCCTTGTATTGTGGCCTGTTCTTTGCAAACCTGACCGTCTCTGTAGTATAAATGGCTGATAACAACTCAGCGTTAGACAGACATCTCCAGGATGTTTCTATTTTAATAACCACAGTGGAATCAAATTGCTTCAGTCAAATTGCTTCAGTGGTTGAGGGTGTTTTTCCCTCTGCAGCTCAAATCATGAAACATTTGCTGTAGTTTGCTCCCTCTCCTGTGTCTAAAGCTGCCTTTCCTCTCTGAGGAAAAGGAAATGTTTATCTGGGGAACCAGAAAATAGGCAGAACCCAATTTCAGTTATTCAGGAACAGCAGATTGTCAGGCTTGAATAATTAAAATAATTGATTTTATTTCTTTCATATATATAGACATTATCTGAAATGGAGGGTGATGGTGAGGTGGATGGGTATATAGGCTATATCAAAAAATGTTAGTGTAATTTTAAGTTCTAAGCTGTGGCCCTAGATCAAAGATTTAGAGTTGGAAGAAACATTAGTGGCCACTTGGATGCCTCACCTTCTTCCCCCAATTTTTAGATGAAAAAAGAGAGACAGAGAGTGAGAGACAGAGAGAGAGAGAGACAGAGACAGAGACAGAGACAGAGACAGAGACAAAGAGAGAGACCCAAGGGCAAAGAAGGTAAATGATTTGCCCAAGGTTGCAAAGGTAGCAGAGCCATAATTTGAACTCAGGTCCTCTGACTATAAAGCCACATCATGCCTCTGATTTTAGTGCAAATTCCTCTTTTTTTTCCTTTTTTTGTGGGGGTAGTTATCTCCAAATCAAATTTTAAGTTTAGGTGAGATATACTAAGTGTAGATCTCCTACCCCAGCAACGCCAAAATGTGCTCTAAAGGCTCCAGGCTTGCCCAATGTGGGTCCACTCTCCCCAAATGTCATGCAGCTCATACTAGTATCTGGACAGATCCCTGGATGTTCCATAGTTTTATCAAGTCATAGATCTATCCAGTCACCTTTTGATTCAGCTCAGTGACCTGGGGACTCCAGGACCCCTGGACATTTTCAGTAATTAGAAAAGAACTTTAGACCCCAAAGGGACCCAAGATACCACCTAGTGTAGACCTCTTATTTTATAGATGAGACTCAGGCCTAGGGAGGACTCAATGTCTAGCCCAAGGTTGCACAGTTAGTAAATGGCAGAGTCAGTGTTCCATAAATACTTGGTAAATAAAGGGACTTTCTTTCTTGAGATCACACGGCCCTGTCTCCTGACTTTCAGAGCAGTTCCTCTGTCCAAGATACTTGGATATCCACAGTTCTTCCCATTTTCAATCCCTTGCTGGGGAGATGGGCTTCTCATAGCATCTTGCTCTCTTTCTGTCTACATGGGGGGAAAGTTTTGATTTTCCTGCACCTTCCCTCTGTACAATCTCTGAAAGACTGAATATCCCTGGCCTTGTTCCCCTCTTCAGGCAAGGATCCAATTCTACCTTTGCCCTAATAATAAGAGCTACCATTAAATGGCACTTTAAGGTTTCTAAAGGGCTTTACATATACTGTACAACCCTGTGATGTAGGTGCTATTATTGTCCCCATCTTATAGATGAGGAAACTGAGGCAGACAGTGTTAAGAGACTTGCCCAGGATCACACAGGTAATAAGTGTCTGAGATCTAGTTCTGAGCTCTGATCTTCCTGCCTAGGCTCTGTGCTCTATCCACTGCATCACCTGGTTAAATAGTGACTGCTCACAAATCCTAAGCCAGACATGCAGCCCCCATGGCCTGTCAGAGTTCTTTCTTTCTTTTTTTTTTTTTTTGGTTTGTTTTTGTGTTTTTTTATTTTTAGGCAATTGGGGTTAAGTGACTTGCCCAAGGTCACACAGCTAGTATTTGGTCGGAGGCCAGATTTGAACTCAGGTCTTCCCGACTTCAGGGCCGTTGTTCTATCCACTGCACCACCTAGCTGCCCGCGTGTCAGAGTTCTTAAGAAGCATAGCCAGTAATAGGGAAATAGGTTTTGCATGATTTCACATGTCTAAGTGATATCACATTTCCTGCCTTCTCAATGGACAGCAGAGAGGTGGAAAAGAGGGAGGGAATTTGGAATTCTGCCTTTAAAAAAAAAGAATGTTAAAAATAAATAACAAATTTTAAAAATTACAAACAAAAAAAGAAGAAAAAGCATAGCCAGATATAGCCAGTGCCCCAGAGACTCTCTTTTCTTTATCCTTCTCCCTGTTCATGAGCACTGTTAGGTTAAATCCTACTCTCAAGAAAGGGTTTAATTCAAGAAACTCATTCATGCTGAGGTAGAAAGATGTTTGCATTTTGAAAAGGAACAAAATATTAAGCCACAGGAAGGTCTCTAATGGTGGCATTTCAGATGTCACTGAGCAGGAAACAGATTGTTTTCCTATTTTGTTGAGGGGAGGGGACTTCTAGTACCCTTGCAATCACTCTGATTCCAGGCAGCTGTGAGGAAGCCTGGGGAAACACTGCACAACAGGCTTCTCTGGGTCCCTAGCCTGGCTCATGGGAGTTCCATGCTGTAGCTACCTGGCCCCTGGGTTCCCTGTCCTGGTCTAATCCCTGCTTTCTGGTCTCTTGCAGCTCCAGCCATCAGGAGTGATGGTAAGTTCTGTATTCAGTTCTGGCCTCTCTATTTTTCTTAACCACCCCTTCTGACCCCTTTCTGAACATCCGTATCAGTGCAGTATAGGACATATCAGTACACCCAGGACAGCACCTGCTATCCTGACTGGAGCCTTGAACCCACCTGATTAAGGGGAGAGTGAGACTCTAGGGCCAGTGAGGAAGCAGCTGTCACTGAGACAACTCTCTTCTCCCAGTACCTTCCACTCATGCTTTTCTACTGCTAGAGACTCAACCCTCTTCCTCAGGAGCTTGTTGTTTTTAGGTGGTTCAGTCATGTCTGACTCTACTCTAGTGTGTCCCTATTTTACAGACGGGAACCGAGTTAAGCGTTAAATGACTCACTGAAGGTCACACAGCTAGTAAGTGTCTGAGCCTGGATTTGAACTCAGATGTTCCTGATTCTAGGCCCACTGTTCTATCCAGTGTGCCACCTAGTTACCCAGGAAATTTGGTTTCACTTGAGAAGTCACAGAAGACATATACCCTCCAAAAAGGGCTAGTCTGCCCAGATCTGTCCCCATGTTTCTCTGTGTTTGAGTGGATTATTGTTCAGTCATCTGACTTTCTGTGACCCCATTTGAGGTTTTCTTGGCAAAGAGACTGGAGTGGTTTGTCATTTCCTTCTCCAGCTCATTTTATACATGAGGAAACTGAGGCAAACAGAGCTTGCCCAGGGTCACATAGGTAGTAAGTCTGTGAGGCCAGATTTGAACTCAAGTCTTCCTGACTTCATGCTTGGCACTGCATCTGCTGCCCCACCTAGCTGCCCTTCTGGGTTTGAGCAGTTCTTTGGTGTATATCCCCATTTCTTCTGCATCCCTGGGCATGTGTGTGTGTGTTTCACTACCTGCTCCATGGAAAGAAAGGCCTGCTATTTACTACTCATTTGTCCTCATTATTTAACTGCTCCACGCCTCAGTTTTCTCATCTGTAAAATGAGGAAGTTGGACTCACTCGATAATCTCTATAGTCCCTTTCCTCTCTAAATCTTATGATTGAGGATCAAATGAGAGAATGCGTGTAAAACGCTTAGCACAGTATTTGGCACACAGTAGGCTCTTAATAAATGCTTATTTCCCATTCCCACTCCACATGACATATCTGGGTTCTGTGTGTCTGTGGTTGCTCTGAGGTGGTCAACACAGTTGTTGAATCATGGATCAAGTGGGGTCATCTAGTGCAACTTCCTCATTTTGCAGGTGAGGAAACTGAGTCCAAAAAAGGTTAACTGAGTTGCCCAAGGTCATACAACTAGTAAGTGGCTAAAAGAGAATTTGAACCCAAGAGGCTTGGATCCAAAGCCAGCATTCTTTCTCCTGCCCCAAGTGATCTCTAAATATCTGTGTATGTGCTATGTGGGTCAAGCCAAATCAAGTCAACAGGTATTTATTAGGTGTCTGTGATGTCTCAGGAACCAATGATTGTTGGGGATACAAAGAAAGGCAAAAACAATTCCTTTTCTTGAGGAGCTCACAGTTTGTGGGTGCTGTTGTCTACACCTTGTTGAGTATGTGTATTGTACATTGTACATGTGTCTGTGTGTCTATTATGCCTAGATCTTGGGTCTGTGTACGAATGCCAGCTGAGTGGGTTGGAGGAGGAAGTATTGGGGGCAGAGATTCAGATCCTTTGATGAGGTTAGTAGCTAGTAGGGGCTGGGGTGCCTGACTTTGGAATGGAGGCAAATGTGACCCTTTTCTCTTCCTGCAGCAAGAGTATTTCCTCAGTAAATGGATCCCTCTCCTTCCTACAGAACAATCTAACCCCAGAGATTTTCTGGGTTTCCCCTAGATTTTGGAGATTGAAGTTGCAGATCATTCATTATTATTTTCCCTGACATGGGTTCTCTTTGAGAAGAAGATGATGGTTCTTGGGATTTTGTGGTTGTTTGTTATGTTTGTTTGTTGTTGTTGTTTTTTTACCAATCAGATGGGACCTAGATGATCCTTAGGGAGCTGCCCATCCTTCTGGAAAAGGCCCAATGGCCTCATGACTCAGTGTGGCATCCATGTGTGAGAAAACTGCCACCAGCAGTTGACCAGCTCTGACTTTTTGTCTACTCCACAGCCCTCTAAACACGCACTGTGTGGACTCCATTCTATTCTCTGTGCCTGTCACTGGTGTGCACCCTCAGATATGGGATTTGATGCCTCCTTGGAGCCTCCTTTTCTTTATTCCCCTCTCCTCTCTACCCTCATCAGGTCCCCCAAGGGCAATACTGACCCTGGAACCCCCATGGTTCAATGTGCTCCGAGGGGACAATGTGACTTTGAATTGTGAAGGGTTCCAGACCCCTGGACATGATTCCACCGATTGGCTCCACAATGGGTCAACTGTCCACATCCACCAGGATTCCTATACCATCCCAGCTGTCAACATCGAGGACAGTGGGGAATACCAGTGCAGGACAGAACACACTGCTCTCAGCAACTCTGTGAAACTACAGGTCTCTAGTGGTAAGTGAAGGAGGAGCCTGGGGTAAGGTGGAAGGAAGGGGAAGAGTTGAAATCTGCTTACAGTACAGCCTGGAAAGGGACATATCCTGTTTATTGGCAGAGCTAATGTCAAGGGGGATGGGTGGGAGAGTTCCTGAGAAAGCAACTTATTTTAACTCTCCTTTTCAATATTGACCTTACTGAGGTATGAGTTTAGCTTGTCTTGTTCTAAGTTTCTCTCATTGACTCTATTTTGTCTACTCCTTTCTGCCAGGAAATTTCCACAACTCCCTTCTGAGTGGCCAGGAGACTAGGGACCTACATTTAATCACTCAACAAATATTTATTAAAGGCTTACTATGTACTAAGCACTGGAAATAGAAGTATGGAGAATGAAACAATTCCTGGTCACAAAGAGCTTACATTCTAATGGGGGAGATAACAAGTACATGTAATATGTATGTGTACATATATACACATATTATTTATATAATATATGTCTACAACACACATATAAAATTTACAAGTATGAACATAGACAAAGTATTTTGGAAGGAAGGCTACTAGCAGATAGGAGGATTGCAGAAGATATTGCCTGAGCTGCATCTTATAGGAAGAGAGGGTCTTTATGAGGGAGAAGTAAGGAAGGTCTGCATTCCACACATAAAGGGTGGGGGTGGGGCATAGAGATGAACAGTAGAAAAGCCTGGAGTTAGGAGTTGAAGGTAGCCTGAGAAGAACAGAGGGAAGGCCACTTTAGCTGGGTGGTCAAATCCAAGGGAGGGGATAGTCATGTGCGGTGAGGCTGGCTAGGTTGCAAAGACCTTTCAAAGATAACAAAGGAATTTGCACTTTTTCCTAGAGGCAATGGGAGACACTGGAGTTGGTCCAGCAGTAGAGTCCCATAGTCAGTTCACTGTGTTATACTAGCATCCCCTGCAGTCTGAGGGTTATGGCTCCAGATTACAAATGACCTCATGTTCTCTAAAATGTTTTAGGCCCCTTCCTAGTTCTTTAATTCCTCCCAAGTTACCTCCATGTTTGTCTTATCTGCACATTCTCCCCATTTCTTGGGTTCTCATATGTGGTGAATGGGTATTCAAGGAGGACTAGTACCTCTAGCATGAGGGTTTGCTAAGCCTATCTCTGGGCTGTTCATCTACCTCTGGTGTCCACCTGGCAATTAACTCTCCCCTTTGGTTCCAATAAGCTGTAGCTTGTGCAGTGGTCACCCATCTTGGCAGATAGGTTAAATAAGGTTGAGGGTAACCAACCAGCCATGAACCCATTGACGAGTTAGTGAGGTGTCTACCCCATGGATGTGAAGATTCCTGCCAGTGGAATGGGCCAATAAGAACATCTTTTTCCAATGGCCATGAAGGTGACTGAAGCAGGCACTGTGGAGTGCTTAGAGCTTGGTCATACACTGAAGATGCCAGGGTCATCCACTTCATCCTAGGCCATTGCAGTCATCCTAACTTTCGTCTTGCCACTGGACTTTGATGACCCTGGAAGAGAGAGTGAGGCTGATGACTTTGTGCAACTCTACCTCTCTTAAATCCAATACACCCTTGAGTCAAACATCAAGGACAAACAACAAAACCATATGTGGGCACATTCTAGCAAGTGGCATTCTGCATGTCCTCATGCCAGGTTCAGTAACTGCAATCACTGTTCAGAGTCAGGGTCTGCTTTTCTTTGTCTTTAGAGATGGCAGGAAGTCTTAGAGGGCCCAAGGCTCTAGGACAAGTTGAAGTGTCCCGAGCCAATGGCCTTTGTGTTTGTCTTTCAGATTGGCTGCTACTCCAAGTAGAGAGATTAGAATTCATGGAAGGTGACTCTATGACCCTGAGGTGCCACAGTTGGAGAAGCAAACCACTGCACAAAGTCACATACTACCACAACGACCAAGCCTTAAAGTATGAACTTCAGAGTTTTAACTATATTGTTCCTCAAGTGAACTATACTCACAGTGGATCTTACTACTGTACAGGGTTTATGGGACATATTTCCCATCTATCTGCAACTGTGGTTATCACTGTCCAAGGTAAGGAGACTTGGCCAAGGCATTTGAGGGGAAAAGATAGACATCTAGGCCCAAGATTATGTGGTTCTTATGGAGGGGACAAGAAATGCTAGAAAGAAATAATGGGAATAATTGACATTTTGATAGCATTTTCAGGTTTATGAAACATTTTTCATACATGTTTCATTTGCGCTCCACAAAAAATAAAACCAACCCAGAAGCTTTATTATTATTACTATTACTATTATTTTAGAGGTATCAAATTGAGGCTTAGAGAGATGAAACCTCCATGATAACACAGTAGCAGAACCTGAATTCAGGTCTTCCTCATTCCAAGCCCACCACTCTATACACTATTCCATACCACCCCTCACAGTACTTCCAGTTGAGGCAAAGAGCCATGGAGAGTTACGGCAGTTGCTAATCACCACCATGTGATGATCAAGTCAGATGAGCTGGGGTTCTAGAAGTCCTTGCTAAAGGTCCAATTTCCCTATGCTCAACTCTTTTGGAGACCACAGTTACCAAGTGATAAACTTTAAGAAGATAAATTTTCAATGACTCTTGAACTGAACCAAGAATATCAATGGAACCCCTAAGGGGAGAAGATCATCCAGATACATAGCTTACAAAGTACTCCTAGAACCCCACAACCCATCCTCTATAATCTTCTAGGCCATCTCCTTCAGGATAGTTCTATATCCAGGTAGGGACTATGTAAGCCTGTGCAAATGGCCTCTCCTTGGAAGAGAGGCCTGAGGAGTGTTCTTTTCTTCTGGTTTTTGGGGCTCCTCTACCAGGTTATGAGTGAAGGCCTCTGTCAGTATAGAGAAGGAGCATGGATCAAGTCAATATAAAATATACAAGCATTTATTAAGTATCAGGTCCCATATTATGTTAAGCTTTCATATAAAGAAAGAAAAAATAGTCTGTAACTTTAAGGAGCTTATAATCTAATGGGTGAGGTAACATCCAAGCAACTCTGTATAATTCAGATATATAGAGGATTAATTGGAGCTCATCTTGGAGGGAAGGTAGTAGAATTAAGGGGGACTGGGAAAGGCTTTTTGCAGGAGGTGGGATTGTAACTGAGACTTAAAAGAAGCCAGGAAAGCCAAGAGGCTGAGACTAGGAGGGTGCTTGGCTGCTGAAGATAAGGGAGGAGAAAAAGGGAAGTTGGGGCAAGGCTGATTTAGCACTAGTGGAGAGGAAGGAAAGGGTAGAGGTAGGGAAGGAAAAGTACTGTGTATCTTGAGATCTCTTTCTCCCAAGATCAGGAGGAAAGCCAAGCACTGCGAATGTGGTTATAATAACACTGGTCCTGGTGGTTGTGATTGCTATAATTGCTGCTGCTGCCCTGTATTACTACAAGCGACACAAAAAACCAGGTATGTGGTTCCCTTTGGTTTCTTACGTAATGGGCTCTCTTTTTGGCCAAGATCCCAGTCCTTTCCTTCCCCAGACCCTGGATCAGTATCATTTTTTTCTTGGCCTAGAGAATCCTTAGCCATACACATACCTATAACTGTGATATTCTTTAATACATCACTGGAGTTCTTTTACTCCACAGATGCTGAAGTCAGGAGCTTGGGGACAGTGCTTTGTAAATCTAATAATAAAAAATACCATAGTTTATCACATGAAAAAACCTAACTTGCTGGAGAAACACATATATGATAAGAGAAATAGTAAGAAACAGAAAGGGATAAAGATAGTCACTAAGAGACACTAAAATCTAGACTGAGTGACCTCTGAGACATACCCCCTAGCTATTCCACTTAGCTATCTGCCTTCTTGCTTCTTTGGACAATCCTCTTCATTTACTAATGACCACTTCCTTTTCCTTGGGCTGGAATTATCCCAACTGGATTCTTCAATGGTGCTCTTAGTTAGGGACAGGCTATGTATGGGGTGGTGGAAATGGGAAAGCAATGCTTGAAATTTCATAGGATCACAGATTTAGAGCAGGAAGGGATCTTCTAGGTCATCTCACAAAGTCTCTGGACTTTACAGATGAGGGAATGGGGGCCTAGAAAGTTAAGAAGCTTGTCTGGGATCACACAAATAGAAAGGGGCAGATAGTCCTTCTGTTGAGGTTCAGGGGTTTAGGGGTGCTGGGACCCCAAAATCACAACACATGGGTCCTGCCTGAAAGAATTCGACCCAAGCCTTCTTTCAGCCAAAGACAAGGTTTATTAGAACATCCGCCATATTTGGCAGACTCTTAAGGAGTCTGAACATTAGTGAGCTATTGACTAGTTTATAAGAATCTGAGCACCTTAATGGAGACAAGATGTCTCCATTATATACAGAAAAACTATGGGAGGGATCTAGCAGTGGCCAAGCAGTCCCAAGCTGGAACTGTGAGGTAATAGAATGCCAGGAACCTGGACCACCTGGCCAAGGGACAATGGAGCCCAGCTGGGATTAAGGGTGGGAAGTGGCTGGGGGGACACGGGGAGGTAAGACAATGGAGGGCTAGGCTAGGTTAAGGGTAACAGAGAACTGGAAAATTGGGTGTAGCCACAATGAAAGGCCAGTTGATGGGATTATAGCCTCAGGCAAACTCCAGAGATTTGGCCATGTGGAAATGTCCAGGGTTTTTTCTTTTTGGGGTCTAGATCCCATCCTTATCACTCCAATTTCTAATCTGGCCTTTTCAACACATTTGGCTGCCTTTCTCTGTCTCCCCATGCTTCCAACCAGATTTCCCTGAATAGTCCGAGTGCTGGATGGAGGGGCTTCAGTGATTTGGAGCCAAACTCTCAGGGAAGGTGGGAGCCTTAGTCTCTCCTGGAAGTGGGATGGGGGAGGGGTGGGAGATGGTAGTGGCTCAGCCACTGCTGGTTCTTAGACACGGTAATCGCTCCACATGAGATGAGCATTGGTGCCTCCCACCCTGATCCACCACCTCTCCTGGCCTAAGATCTGGAGTACAGAAATCCCAAGGTCTTTGTACTTGTTTACTTCCCGCTGTCTCAGAAAATATGGCAGCTTTAAGAGGGTGTCTGTTTCTCCTTTAATTAAACCCTTTCCCCTGTCCTTGGGCCTAAGGTTCATGACTCTGTCCCATTGTCCCACTTTCTATATGACCTGCCTTAGCTCTCCCAGATAGCCCTAAATACAGGGAAGGAGAGAATCTCATAGAGGAACCAAGTGAGTACAGCCGGCTCTTTCACTGGTTGTCCCATTGTATGGTGGGACATAGATACACCTTGCTCAAATTGGAACTGCAAGGTAGACCGGAGGCTGAAGAACAGGACACTTGTGGGAGCTCAACAGAGCTTCAAGGAGGGCAGAGGCTCAGCTCTCTTTGTCAGCCGTGTAGCATAGCCAGGACAACATTGGAGATGGGGAAAAGTGGAGATATTACATGGCAAAGCCTATACAATCAGGAGTTCAGGACAGTGCTTCTCAGAAAGGGGAGTAAGGGGTATCTAGGGCTAATATGGGAATCTCAGGAATACTGTGAGGTCAGTAGTGAGGGGAAGGGAGATAATAATATAATTTAATCCTCACAGTAACCCTGTGAGTTAAGTAATATAAACATTATTATCCCCATGTTACAGATGAAGTAATTGAAATTCAAAAGGATCCTATGATTTGCCCAAGATCATAAAATCATAGGATCATAGATTTTGAGATGGAAATGGTCTCAGAGATCATTTAATCCAACATCCTTATTTTACAGATGAGGAAACTGAGGCCCATAGAACTTAAGTGACTTGCTCAAAGGCACACAGATGGCAGAGCTCTGCTTTGACTCCAAATTGAGCCTTCATTCCACTGCACTATATGCAGATTCTAAGTGGTGGAAGCAGGATTCAAATGCAGATCTTCTGAGTTCAAATCCAGTTTCTTTAGAAGATGAAGATGTTCAGCTAAGAAGGGTGAAGAGTCAGGGCTCTGGAGTGGAGGTGTGCTGCAGGCTCAGCAGCAGCTGTGGGGCTAGGAGGTAGGCTGGCTCAGAGAAGGAATCTGGCCACCTCGCTCTTGGCCTACAGAAATGGGCTGAGGATGGTGCAAAGTTGGATTTTTTTTCTTAATTGTAGAAGATTGGGTTGTACTCTTTAGCTTCTGTCTTATCTATACAAATAACAGCAGCAACAACAGTATTTTTAGCACTTTGCAATCCTTTAATGTAGCAATGTTTGGGCCTGACAACTTTTCTTTTCATTCACAGCCCATACTCCTGATGAGATCGGAAGGATTGAGGTAAGTGAGGTGCCCTAACTTTCTCCCCATACACTCCACCCCATCCTGTTCTCACCTTTCTTTAGTGGATTCTATTAAGTTTCTTTCCTGTTCCATCTCTTCTGCTCTACATATCCCACCTCCCCAATTCTTCCTCATCTCTCTGTTTTCTCTAGGTGGAGAATTCGATGTCTTATTCACTTCTAAAGCACACAGATAATCCTGAGGAAGAAGCATCAGGACGCTCAACTTATAAGAATCCCCAATAGTCATAACCACCTCTATCCCTCCCACAGTGGCCCTAACCTGCTTGTTCCCACAAGCACCAGATTAAGGCACCTGGTGGACCTAAGGCTGGAGACCAGCTGCTTCCTGAGCCAACTTTGCCATTCCAGGAAAATGGATTTGAAAGTCTCTTTTGCAGTTGTCTGCATGAATCCTAAACTGCTTTTAAACACTTGAAGGCAATTGACTGTCAGTGTTTACACTGCCTCTCTGTGCTGCCAATATCTACCCAATCCAAATGACTTCATATCCTGAATCACTCTTGCACAATACTTTGGACAATCCAAAATGTCCAAGTCCCTTTAAAGGAACTGCTCTGCTCCCTCCTGAAATTTCTCCCTCCCTAGGGCAGGCTTTAATTGTAAAGTCAGTTTTCTCTTTCCATAGGTGTTGGGGTGGGGTCAGGAGGTGGCTGAGTATGGCTTTCCTTAGAGAAGGATGATGTACAAGAGATGAAATAGGATGTCTCTGTACCCTGAATCTCCTTGTCCCACCCCTAAAGAGTCCTCACTATTTTGTGTTGAAATGGCGGGTCCTGGGGCAGAAGACAGTGGGCCTCAGCCACCTGTTTTGTCACAGCCTGCTTTTGAAAAGTCTGGTGCTTTATGGAAACCTCTCTGGTTTTTACATTAGTCCTCTCTAGCTGTGCTCTCCCTTGAAGTACCAGATAGACAATAATTTAGGAAGCTTGAAGAGGAAGAAATGCCCATGAACTACCAACTCAGATTCAACAATGCCATAAGAACCTCACTGCCAGTGTAGAGTCCTTGGTGCTAAAGGTTTTGGGGCTCAATGTGAATCTAGCCTGTAGTGAGCAAGAGGCCGATAAGGCATGCAAGGGATTAGGAAAGAGGGATCTGGGAAAGGGGTCAGAGAATGTCACTTGTAATCACTCCTTTCTAGGCAGGCATTGTTTCCCTGAGAGGTGGGCATCTCAGTGTTGCTGTTCTGGTTGGGGCCTAATCTCTTGGCCCAGGGTAGGTGGAGTGGGTTGGGGCAGGGGCATCAAAGGCATCTTGGGATGAGAAGTGGCATGGTGCTGTCCAAGGAATGCTGGAGCTGAAGGAAGAGAGCCTGAGTTTGATCAGTGCCTCCTCTACTTACTAGGAATATGACATTGGGTAAGTCAGCTCAACTTGCTGGGCCTCAAGTTTCCCACCTGTCAAAAGAGAGGATTTTATTAGATAATCTCAATTCAATTCAACAATGCTCATTAAGCATTTGCTGTGTATCTCTGGCACTTACTGTCTATCAGGATCCTATTATCTATGGCTTCCTAACACACTGATACCCTTCTTCCCCTTTCCCACTCATTTCTCCAATCTCCCCACGGAGTAAGGTTAAGGATATACATTCTGTATCGTCAGAATGTATGTTTAATTAATAAAAGTGATTTTAATTAAGCCTTCTTGAGCTCATGTTCTAATTTTTTTTAGTGTCTTTTTAGTCAAGGTAGGAAATCATACTGTCATACCTTGGGCAAGTCACTTAGCTGACATTTATAAAGTGCCTTAAGGTTTGTAAAATGTTTTGCATATATGGTCTCACTTGATCACGAGAATAATTATTTTTATTCTCATTTTACAGATGGGAAAACTAAGGTAGAGATTGCTGACATTATTTGCCCCTGCTTATGATAAGCTAATAAGGGTCAGAGGCAAGATTCCAACCTAAGCCTCTCCTGACACCAAATCCACTTCTTTTTCCATCAATTTCCAATGCTGCCACTCAGGGCTTTGGTTTACTCTTCTGTAAAATGAGGGGTGTTGGACTATACAATCACTAACATTTCTTCCAGTTCTCACATTCCATGATCCTACATATAATAAAGCATTGTTATTATCTCATAATCCAGTCCAAGGCTCTTCTCTATTAGGTCGTTCGATCACAGAGAGTACTGAGGGCCTCCTGGTGGGCAAGGGACTTCTGTCTTCAAGATCAGAAAGGAGGTAGGCCTCATGACACAATGGGATATAGAGCAAGGCTTCTTAATTTGGGGGTCTGTGATCTTGAATAGGGAAAAAAATTACATCTTATTTTCACTAACCTCCAACTGAAATGTAGCCAGTCCTTTAGGGTCCACTGTCTTCACCAGACTGCTGAAGGGGTCCACCACATGCAAAGGGGTAAAGAACTCCTTAGAACAGAGAAGGGGCAGAGGGAAAACAACTGATTTTCTGCACTGACCTGCTTTTCATTTTTCTACTCAATGGAGAGTATCCAGAAGGATAAGATTTGGAGTTGGCTCAAGCTGTGCCTTGATTTTTGGGTAAAATGAACTGCAATGAGAAAAGAAAAGGAGCACATGCAGGACTGAATCCTTGGGTTTCTATTTCTCACATGCTCAACCCTTCAGGATTGCCTGGGACAGAGGGGTAGAGGGGTTGTTTCTTCCGTCCTCTTCCTCACCTTTCACACTGTCATCATCCCTATCACTCCTCTGTGTAGAGAGCCACACTTGAGATGAAGTTTAAATGACTGTCGTCTATGCTGCTGCCTACAGGGAGCAGGGGACAATGCTGCTGGTGGAATGGAGAGCCATCTAGCTGAATGAAATTTAAGGAAAGTGGAAAGGTGCATAGCACCGACTTCTCCACCTAGGACATGAAAATATGTATCTGACCACAACACTGATCTGAGTAGTCTTGGGTATTATATGAAAATAATCTTGTTTTGCTCAGTATCTGGGACTTCCTTATCTGACCCTACATTATATCTCTGTCCCTCATACTCTGCAATTTGCCAAATTTGGGATCATGAAATGTCTAAGTGTAGTTAAAGTAAGATTAGGGATTCCAAGGTGCAGTAAAAGGAAGGGTTGAGCACCATCACAAGACAGAGCCAGCATAAGGGCAGAGTCAGCAGTGAGGAAGTAAAGCAAGTCAGCTTTATTGAGGGGAAATACTTATTCATAATTAGAGGGTCAGTCAGGAAGAATAGAAATAGGTCAGATTTCATTGGTGTTCCAGATGGAAGGGAGGGGGAAGGGTGCCAAGAAGAAGAAAGTCCGGTGGGTTTTGATAGGGTTCTTATCTGGGTAATGCAGGACAAAGAATTAGGTAAAGAGAAGGGGAGCCTGAACTTGGAGACTGGTCAAGGTTCAAGCTCCAGGGGAGTGACTCTGAGGAACTGACTTCTGGTTGACATTCAAATTCCCTTGGGAAAAGTAAGTTTTAGCCATTACTGCAGGTTTTATTTTGATTGTGGTTTAGTGGGGGCATGGAGGCTATTGGGGTCCTTATATAAGGCTTGGGTTTGAATCTCCACTTTGCTACTTACTAACCTGTATGACCTTGGGCCAATCATTGAACTTCTTTAGACCTCAATTCCATGGAGTAGGGTTGGACTAAATGGTCTCTAAGGTCCTGTCTAGTTCTATGAAGCACACTTCTGATCTGGACATTGTCTCCTGTTGCCGGGCTCCAGCTCCCCAGCTTAGTGATCTCTAGCTCTATATAACCAGCTCAGTGCTTCTGGCCCCTCCCCTAGTTGGGACCTTTCATCTCTGGCTTTTCCAAGTTCCCAGTTTGAGAAGTCCTAACAGACACTATGAAGGACCCATTAGTTCTGGTTAATGTCAGGCATGATAGGAGTGGAGCCTGTTTTATGTAAACTGGACCAGTTTCCCTTTAAGATGTGGAGATTTTTATTGGTCTAGCTTCCTTGTTTGCTGAGATATAAAAGTTTCAGCCTCTGGGGAGTCAGTGCTGGAGGTTTTAAGGGAATTCTCACTGCCCTGTAGGAGCACATTTCTGATATAGGTGACTGTTTCGGAGGCAAAGAGCAGTGCTTTATCCAAATTGTAGCCTTTTTGATATTCTCCTAAGTGAAGTTGTTTCTAATTGCATTTTACAGTCCACAAGTGTCTCATTGCATTATAATCCTAAACCAGCATCACTAGACTGGCCTGAGCCAACCCTGGCTCAGGATGGCAGTTCCCATCTCCATCCCTCACCAGAGCAAGGCCAAATGGAGCATCACTAGTAGAAATTCACAAGGCAAGGGTGATAAAGGGCATTCAAAGTCTAAGGAGTAGCATGAATCCACTTTGATAAGTGAGTCATATTCCCCCTACTAATTCTATTCAATAAATATTTAGTAAGCATCTACTATGTGCAAGGCTAACTGGGAATACCAATATGAAATATGAAACAGAACCTACCCCAAAGGAGCTTACAACTTAACAGTGGCAGATATGTACTCAAATACCCATGGGGAAGGGAGGGGATAGCATTTATGTAGCACCTACTACATGCAAGGTACTATGCTAAGCCAAGACAATTCTTTACAAATACTATCTCATTTGAGCCTCACAACCCTGTGAGGTAGGTTCTGTTATTATTCCCGTTTTATAGTTGAAGAAACTGAAGCAAACAGAGGTTATGTGACTTGCTCAAAGTCACACAGCTAGTAAGTGTCTGAGGTAATATTTGAAGTCAGGGCTTTATGATTTCAGGTTCAGTGTTCTATCCATTATACCACTTGGCTGCCTCTATGATACAAGGCACATATCAGAGAAGTACAAAGGAGATATTCAGCAGTGTGCTATAAGAGTTCAAAGAAGGAAGAAGTCCCTTCTACCTGTAGTAGAGTGTAAGGAATCTTGGAAATCATCATGGAGGAGGTGTCACCAGAATTGGGCCTTGAAGGAAGATAAATTTCAATAGGTGGAGATAGTGGGAGGAGTGGAGTAGGGAATAATTCCATTTTATCTATGCAGGAAATGAGAGAAAAGTTGTGAAGGTAGGATATGGTAAAATGGAAATGGAGGCCACTGAAGAGTCCAATTTGACTTGAAGATATAGTGTGTTAAGGGAAGCAGAATGAAAAAGCCTATAAAGTTAGGTTGGAAGGAGATTGTGGAGGGTGTTAAATACAAGACAAAGATTTTATACTTTCTTCTGTAGATAAGAGAAGGCAACAAAGACAAAAGAGAAAAATGTTTCTGGGGAGAGGCAGGAGATTGAATGGTGCATTGGTTAGCTGTATGAAGGATAGATTGGATTTATGGGAGATGGAAGAGAGATCAGAGACAGGAAGAACAGTTAGGAGTGATGAGGCCCTAAACTAGATGGGGTCGAAGTGGGTATAGAAAAGAGATGGCAGATTGGGTTTGCAGTCCTACTCCTTAGTGGATGGCATAAAGCCATTGGCTGCTTAAAAGAAGGGGGCTATATAAGATGCAAAAAGGGTCTTGAAAGGGGAGGTTTTGTTGGAGAGGAGTAGGTCTCCAAAAACAAACTTCAAAGAAGAGTAGTCATGTGCTTCATATGTAGAGAAAACATTGTAGAGTGGAAATCACGCTGGGCTTGAGGTCAAAACACCTGGATTTGAGTTCCAGCTCTGCCATTTGCCAGGTATATAAACATGACCAAGTCATTTATCTTCCATGACCCTCCATTTACTTATCTATAAAATGGGGGTGTCTATTCTCCCTACCTCACTCTCTTGTTATGAAGATAAAATAGTGATAATTTACATTACCTGGTGTTTTTTGGTTTATAAGTCACGAAATAATAAGAGCTGACATTTATATATAGCTTTACGGTTTACAAAGTCCTTTGTATACCTAATTTCATTTGATCTTCTATAATGCTGTGAGGTAGATTATTTGCTACTTTGATGGATTTGTGATTTCAGTTCTGAAAATTAGCAACCACTGCAGGACACTAGGTGCTAGGGGACTGGGGCACTGGGTGCTCTCTCTCTCTCTCTCTCTCTCTCTCTCTCTCTCTCTCTCTCTCTCCCTCTCCCCCTCTCTCCCTCTCTCCACTAAGGTACCCATCTGCTCATCCAAGCAGCACAGACAAATTTCAGTTGTAGTGAGGAGTCTGGCTTCTAATAAGATAAGTTAGACTCTTTTTCTCACACCCTTCAACTCATTACACCCTCCTCCCTCCACATGCCCTAGGGAAAAGTGTTTAAACTTGGGTTTTGGTTCATATCTAGAGTCTGTCTCAAGTGGTAAGCAGAAAGGTACTGCATATGGAAAGGTATATAATGTAAATCAAGCATGGGACAGGTATCTATTTCCACCACACAAAGCAGGACTTAACATAAAAGATATCTCTCAAGTGTGCATTAAAAACAAAACAAAACAACCCCCCGAAAAAATCCTTAAAACAGGATACGGTGACTAAAATGTCTGAACATGAAGCAATTTTCAGGACTTCTGGCTAGGCATTTTTACATTTTACCTCACTTTGCTCTGTTCCCTTCAAGTTAGAAATCTTCTGGCAAGTCACGCCAGGGATTGGGTCAACCTAGCACTTGGCCATTGTCTCCAAAAGCATAAACCCACCTTGAAACTAGCCAACTCTGCTGATGGATCTAGTATTTCCATCCTTTCAAAATCATGAGGTTGTCTCTGAGAATGGACACATTCATCTCAGGATCAATGTTTTCTCACCTATGATCAGACAGAGAAACACAGAGCAGAAAATGCCACCAGAGGCCCAGACTCAGACTCATCTAGCTGAATCTTTCATATACTTTGCTAGTATTAAGAGAAGTCACAGCTAAAGATAAGTTACTCCCTTTAAAAAGTTCACTGAGTCATCAACTCATTCTACTCAGTGGGTAATCAGGTGATTGCGGCTTTGTTACCCACAATATTCAACCAAGTGCGAAGCTAACATATATGGTTGACTGGATTCAAGAAGGGCAGCTTTGCACATGCCCTATTTTGTACACAATGATAAAGGTACTCCCTCTGACAGTTTATAGAATGACCCACCCACACCCTCTCATTCTCTGTGACTTGTGCACGTCCTCCCAACAAGTCCTGCTCAGGAGGTTTACTCAAGAGCCTTCGTCTAGATTTCTTGACGTTGCATGGATGTCAATGGAGCACAGGCTGTCCATTGGTTGTTCCTCCCTTTTGATATGTAATCAGTGAGACAGGTACATGGTGCAAGTATTTTCTCAATTTTATAGCTGAGGAAATTCAAGCCTGAGGTCATGCAACTATTAACTGTTAGAACTATTAAACTCTGTCTTGGATTCTCTTTCCACTACACAATGCCCCCTCTACTATATGCTGAAGTATTTTGTGCATTGAAATGTGTCATGCAAGTATAAAGTTTTCTTATTATCTACTTAACAATTTTGTCTGGGGCAGGCCTGGGTTGTTCTTTCTCTTCTGGGGCCATGGAGTCGCTTGTGCCCCACCTGCTACAAGGTTCATTGCCTCAAAGTCTCCTTTTGCTACACTCTCCCCACCATAACTAAATTCAGCTCCTCCCAGACTAGATGGGACCAACCTCATGACGACATGTCACTTAACTTAAACAGTGGAAATTTTCTTTTTTTTAACATTTATTTTTAGATTCACAAATGTTCAAGCTTCAAAGAAAGTAATAGAGCTGATGCTTATGATGGGTGCAGTTTGAACAGAGCAGAGTAATTACATACTGTGGTCCCATACCAACTCCAGATAAGTGAGAGAGTGTCCAGAGTAAAGCAACTAGAATGGTGGAAGGCCTTGAGTCCATGCTATATGAGAATTAGGTGAAAGAACTGGAGACATTTAGCTTGAAGAGAAGCCTTGGAGGGGAAGGAGGTGTCTTGAAGTCTATTTTCAAGCATCTGAAGGACTTTAAAGAGGGACTAAATTTGTACTATTTAGCCCCAGAGCATAGACAGAGCAAGGAGCAATTTAGGCATGATGTCAGGAAAAAAAACAAACTTTCTAACAATTAAAACTATACAAAAGTGGAATGGGTTGTCTTGAGGGGCTGTAAGTTTCCCTTCACTGGGGGCTTCAAGCAAAGGCCTGAGGACCAATTGTCAGGTAAGTTATAGTGAGAATCCCTTTGGAGTATGGATTGGACAAGTTGGCTACTGAGGTCCTTGCCAGTTCTCAAGTGCTGTGATTCTGTGACTCTAACTAATTTCTGTGCAATACAGTACTCACCTCAGAATTTCAGACTTCTGTAGGCATTAACTGCCCTCTGCTTCAGGGCAAAATAGACCTTTCCCTGTCTCCACCAGAGAGCATCTCTATCATTCTTCATTAACTCCCAATGCTAAGTGTAGACTTCTGGGAGCATTGACCAGAGTATAAGGAAAGAAAAATAGGCCACTGAGAGACCTCTAATGGAAAGAATAATGGAGATAGTGAGGCAGCTCAGAGGTGAAAAGAGATGCTATTACTGTCCTATCTCCCTTGTCCTGAATCCTCCTTCTTGGGTTTCTCAAGCCATCTGATTCCTCCTATCTCCAGTTTCTTCAGGATCAATGGATGTTTCTGGCCAGAGCCTGGGTCCTAAGTCCTCTGGATGCAGACTCTTTCAGTGCTTCTGTCAGGGAAGAGGGCTTTGTCTATCATGAACTCAGGTTTTTTCATACACAACAAAGCTCATGGCACAAATAAAACTGGTAGATTTTGTCGGTAAACTCTTTCAGATCAGTGGGGTTGATCAGGATGGACTTGGAATTAGTTTCTCCATTGAGCCATTCTGCTTGGGAATTTTGTCACCGGTGGGTAACAAATAGGGCTGGGACTAGAACACCTGGGGCTTTGGTCTCGCTCTGCCAGTGGTATCCTGTGTATACCCTTGTACAAATCACTTCTCTTGGCCTTAGTTTCTCCATCTGTAAAATGGAGCAACTCTTGTACTACTCCTCTTTCTCCCAGGGTTGGGGTTATCAGTTGGATAATCACAGCTGTGAATGGGCTCCTTGCAAAGGGGGTAGGGGAGGGAAATGTTCCAGAGATCCTGAATTGCCTTTAAAAATCAAAAGTCTGGAAATGATCTAGGAGATGAAGTCTGAACACAAACATGCAAACAAGCTGGAAATAACCCTGAGATAAAGTAAAGAGGCAGTTATGTTGAGTTCCTCTTTTCTAATTTAAAAGGTTTCATGTTGAACTCTATCAGCAAGTTGGAGGTAGCAAGAGATCCAAAGACACCCATCAGGATGTTATGGTGGGACTCTGCTGCCTGGGCTCCTGTCCTTTCTCCTGTGAGACTGTGGGCAGCTCTGCTGCTCCTGGGTGAGGAGTGTGTTTCAGCATTTATCTGTGTTTATTGTGTTGGTGCGGGTATGGTTTTGAATTTCTAAATGTACATCTGTCCTATGGGTGAAGAAAGGGGCTGGGCATGGTAATGCACCCCTATAATCTCTGCTACTGCAGGGGAGGGGAGGCTGAGGCTTGGCAGATCTCTTGAGTTTGGAAGCTCTGAGTTGCACTAGGGATAAAGTCAACTGGGTTTCTGTGCTAAGTCTGGCATTAATATGGTAAACTTGGTGGAGGGAGAGGGGAGAGTTACCAGGCTGTCTAAGGAAGGTCCAAGTGGCCCAGATCAGAAGTGAAGTTGGTTAAATCTTCTTCACTGATCAGTATTAGGATCAAGCCTATGAGGGTTCATTTCACTTCCAGCCTGGGTGAGATAGGATGAGAAAGAAACAAACAAACAAAGAAAGAAAGGGAGAGGAAGAAAGGAAAGCAGAGAGGGAAAGGGGATGGACTAAAAGGGGGTTTATATCGACCTCACCACTTTAATATTGTTACCTATTGATGGTCAGAATTGATTTTTGGAATGTAAGTATTCAAGAGCGATTTGAATGGGGGTCATCAGGAAGTTTAATGAACAAGATGTGGAAAGCTACCCAGGATATCCTGTGACAAACAAGGGTATGTAAAGGTGGATGTAAAGAACCTGGAATAAATTGAAATGATATATGTTGCTGAGGAAGGCCATCAGGTTAAGGTCCTTAAGGGTGAAGATTAGTCCTTGGTTGTATAAGGAGAACAAAAGAAAGCAGAGAAGAGATCTGATTAGAGACTCAAGCAACCAATCAATTAACAAACATTTATTAAGTACCTACTGTGGGCCAGGCATAATGCTGGGTGGCGGATATAAAAATACAACAGTGAAATAATCCCTATCTTCAAGAAACATATTACATTGAGGGAGACAACTATATCAAAGTAAGCATACATTGAATATAATAAAAATAGGTTCACAGCAATTTGATTAAGAGGGGCACTAAGACCTGGGAGGATGAAGAAAGTAACCAAGGTGGTGCTTCAAGGTGGAACTTGAGGTGAGGAAACCAGGGATAATAATAAGAGAGGAGCAAGCACATTTCAGGCATGGAGGACAGATAGGGGAAAGGCACAGAGGTAGGATGTGCGGTGCCATACATGAGGAATAATGAGGACAATTTGGCTGGACTGTAGCGTGTGTGAAGAGATGTAATGACATGAAAGATAGGTTGAGACCAAGTTGTTGAGGGATTTAAATGACAAATTGAAGTTTCTATATTTGATCTTAGAAGTAATAGGGAAGTCACCAGACCAGAGACAGGTATTTAATTGTAGGATTTGGGATAGGTGGAAACTGAGCTGGAGAAGATGGGACCAAAGTGTGAATGGGTCATATGGGGGTGGGGGACAAGGGGAAGAGAGCATTGGCCATAGGAGGAGGAGGAGAGAGAGAGAGGGAAAGGGAGAGGGAGAGGGAGAGAGATAGTTCATGAAATAAGAAGCAGAATAAGCATAGGACAGTGGTTCTGAATTTTGAGACCAAGGTGAAAGTTGGCTTTTACAATAACTAGTAAGGATGGGTGGCAGGGGAATAGGCGAAAGACAAAGACTGTCATTGCCTTAGAAATTCTGGTAGCAGGGGTCACCTAGGAAGAGATTACTGATAGATACTGAACTGGAGAGAAGACAATGGGAGGTGAAGGACAGAGGCAAGTGGTGGTAACCTTCTGTGAGGAGAGGTATTCAAGGCTGTTGGAGGAGATAAAATCTTCTTGGAAAAGCACAGAGAGGGGGAAAAAATTACCAACAGAGTACAGGAAACTTCATCCTGTTCCTGAACTTGTCCCTCACAGGATCAGAATCCCAGAGTTTAATCTAGTCTAACCTTAATTCCCTTTGGTGTAGTGGAGAAAGTTGGGTTTGGAGTCAGAGGACCTGGGTTAGAATCTTGGCTCTGCCACTTATGGCTTTGGGACATTAGGCATGTCACAGCTTCTCTGGGCCTCAGTTTTCTCATTCATACATGAGGGAGTTGGGTTAGATGACTTCTAAAACCCAACTCTAAATCTGATCCATCCAGTTCCTTCCCACTACTTCAGAGCCTGATCACCAATCTCTGCTCTCTTACAGATACAGCTGGTGGTCGAGCTGGTGAGTTTACCATTCCCCTCTATGCCCCTCATCCTTCTCCACCCCACAGAATCTTAGGGAAGCAGGGTCAGTAACTCAAATGAATGAAGAAATAATTGAAGGAAAGGCTTGGGATCTCCCAAATTTTCCCTGGAACTGGCCATTTCCTGTATGAGAGGTGGGGATACAGACAAAGGCAGGAAGGGATACATCCCCATCAGAGACTCTTTCTACTGATCCAAAGTCCAAGATGCCCTCTCAGGCCACCTTGTGTCTCAGTGTTCCAGAAACAACCAATGACCCTGCAGTATGAAGGGACATCACCTCCTGGGAATGTCAACAACCATGACAAGGAGGACTTCAGGACATCAAGCTTCAGCTCTCATGTCAGCCAGACCTCTGGGACAGAATCAGAGGGATACTCTTATAAGACCTTCAAGGGCTATACTTTCAGCAACCCCTTACACTTGATTATATCATATGGTAAGTGAGGGTCCCTGATCCAGTTTAGAGTTCCACCTCTCTACCTGTCCCCATGCTTCCTAGCTTTGGTCAAAGCCTCAGCCCAACCCCAGCCCAAACCTCAGACCTCATGTCCCATCACAAACTTGTTCCAAGCTCAACCTTGGGACCCACTAGCCCAGTTTTTCCTCTCCTGCCTTTCCCATGGCCCACATCAAAGATCGCCAGGTTAGCCATCTTAGAGCTCTAGAGTCTCCTGTCCTGGCCACGTTTTACCCAACACTGACCTAAGGCCTGGCTCTGAAAATGTTTTACAGTGGAAAGGGGGAAAATTGATTATTAAAGCAAGAAGTTAGACATCTCCTGCCCGTGAAGTTTGGGCCATAGCAGTCAGATGGTGCTGCGGGAATGGTCATGGAGAAGGGTTGGTGGAGGAGTGAGTTGAATTCAAAATTGGGGAAAGATGTGGTATGTGAGGGGGAATTTTGGGACCAGGGTTGCCAGTCACCCTTCTGGATGCCAGTGACTGGGTAGGAGGGCTCTCTGTACTGCTCATTCTGTTCAGTCCCATTACCTCTGTTGCCACAGCCCATTTAAACTAATGCCCTCAGGAAACCATCCCTAGCAATACAATAGGCCTCTCCATCTCCTCCTTCTCCAACTTTATCTGTAGCTCAGGAGGCATCTAGCACTGCAAGTGGTCACCCCATACCCCATCTACCTAGGGGCTTGAGCTGCCAGAAATCTCAGAGAGAAAGTTAGGGAAGCCAGGGCTGGGAAAATGTGGGAGGATGGGGAAAGAGAGGAGGGTTATAATCCTGAAGCAATGAAGTGACTCCCCCTATCTTGGACCACAGATTGGCTGATATTACAGGTCCCAGCCCAGCCTGTGTTCGAGGGTGACTCTCTGATCCTTCATTGCCTGGCATGGGGAGGTTGGCCTCTGTCCCAGGTCACCTTCTACCGAGATAGCTCAGCCTTGGGCCCCCCCGGGCCTGACTCAGTGTTCTCTATCGGCATGGTTCATGCAGCGGACAGCGGGCACTATCACTGCAGTGGCACCTTCAAGAGGCCTGGCCCTGGAGCCAAGAAGGCAGCTGCTGTGTTCCTTCAAGTACAAGGTGTGAGCTGAAGCGGGGTTCAGGGGAGGTGCTGGTGCCATGAATGAGAGCCTTTGTTAGGGGCCAGTGGCCCAGGCTGGAGCTGGCTGGGGGATGGAGGGGTGAATGGAGGTTACTTCAGTGTCCAAAGGTGAGCCACCAGGGTAAAGTAAGGTCAAAGGAACTCTCTAGCAACTGAGACTTGTTATTCCAGGGCTGGAGGTGGGAAGGCCATTTAAATAAGAATTTACGTTTGTAGAGCACTTCAAGATTAACCAAGGGCTTTCATGCACATTTTTATTGAATTATCTTCCAAATATATCTATCCCCACTTAAACATGTGAGTTTTGCATCATCACCCACCCACTCTTTTCCAAATCATGGGGAGTGTTGACAGGGACTGTGGCCAGGCTCAGGAGAGGCTGGCCTCTTAAACAATCAACTTTTAAAAGAGATTTGCTGAGCAAGCATGAAACAATGGCTCCTCTCCCTCTGACCCTTCAGATTTCTTTACTCCCATTATCCTAGTACTTTCCATAGTTTGACAGAAATCAATTCAATTCACTCAAAAAAAACCCCACTTATTAAAAGTGCCTACTATGCTCCAAGAAGAAAGTGGTAGTGGCTGGATAGCTGCTCCCAGACCCAGGAAGCTCTGGGTTCAAGTCTGACCTCAGATATATACTGGCTGTAAGATAGGTCACTTGAACTTTTAATGCTCTAGGCCTGTCCTGTCAAACTAACGCATATGGATCCCTGCCAGTCACATATTGACTTACAAAGCTCCAGATGAATGTTATCTATATTGTATTGTATTTTCATTTATTTTGTTAAACATTTCCCAATTACATTTTAATCTGGTTAGGGTCCATTTCTAAGTTTGACACCTCTGCTCCAGCAATTCTCTTAGGATACATTTCAGAGAAAGTGCCAGTTCATATTGGTAAACAGGGTTTTCTCAGCCCATATCAGTGAAGTCACAAACTGAGTCCCATATCAGGCATTGTGCTAAGATTACAAAGACAAAACAGAAACAACCTCTGTCCTTAAGGAATTTACATTCTACTGGCAAAATATAATACAGTTACAAGTAAGCAAATACAAAATGTATTTAAAGTAATTTCAATCAGGAGAGAGTGGTAATATTTTGTGGAGCTGTCCAATCAATAGCATACTAGTAAATGTTTAAAAACCAGTTCTCCCAGAGGGGGAAAAAGTATACATGACACACTTTTAAGTTTAATTTGTATTATTAATTTTTTTCTATCACTTTCTTAGATTTCTATCACTTAGATTTTCTATCACTTTCTTAGATTTAAATAATCAACACAACAATAAACTAAGTTCTGATTTGTAGGTCTGCTAATTTCTGAGATGTAAATGTTCACACTGAAAATTTAACAGTTGGCTCTTATGAGCCCCATCCAGCTGGCTCCAGCACACTCCTGTTAAATCCAACTAGATAGATAGATAGATAGATAGATAGATAGATAGATAGATAGATAG